TAGTGAAATAAAGTGACTAACTGGACATTATTTCGGCTCCACCCTCCAGTGTTTGCTCCATTTTGAAAAATGTTCTGTGATTCTTTAAAGATAGCTTTTGCTCGTTTTCGTTTGTTTCCTTGGAGTAAAAGAAAAATTGATAAATGTGTCTTTTCGTAGAGGGAAAATTATCTAAAATACAGTGTTTGCGTTTATATTAGATTATCTAGAAAGCACTGTTTGCTGGAATTTGAAGTACTGTTTGTTCTTAACACTAAACATGCCAGTACTTAATAGATACCAATTTCTATCAAAGTCGGTCAAATGAATGGACTTTATGTTTCTTGATTGAATGTATGAAATATGGATGTTAGGAGGGAAATAAACTAAAAAAAACTTTATTATAATCAAACAAATTGTATATTGTTAATTTTTATGTATTACAAACACAAAGAATAAGAATTTTTAATTCATTGATTAACGCATTTTTTACACATACAGGGTGTTTACATTGTTCATTTTCCGCAAACATATTTCTTCTAATTATTATTATTTCTATAATTCTTATAATTATTAGAATATATCAGAATTATAAGAATTATAATTCTTATAATTAATATTATTTCTTTTAAGAACTTGTGCTGTCTTGATTGTTTCGACATTTTTCTGTGTAAAAGCTAACAGTTAATTAGAAATGAAGTAAAGCTATCAAAATAAAATATAAGCTACCTACCAAAAGATTTAGTTTTTGTCACTTTTTCTGACACAAAACTGCCAATCTAAAATTTTAGGTGCTTTCTTGAAATTTGAATTCACAGTCATTCTGATTGAACTAACTACGCAACAGTCTTTGGCAGAAATGTGCAACTAATCGAATGCAATACTTTGAACACGCATTACATCGTCATTTCTGATCCGATCACCTTATAAAGCAATTAAATTGTTCTCCCGGTCAAATGACCGGTTGTGGTAGAAATAGGTATACGACAAGTATTATTCAAAACAAAAAAAATACAAAAAAAATAATAATAGAATATTAACGGTGGATAAATGTTAGGAAAAGTCATGAAGTCAAATGCGCAAAAACGATAAGATGATAAGCTCATTTTCGATGCAAAAGTTCCTAAACGGTCATCTGACCTGTTATGGTATGTTTAGTGTTAAACTAGATTACCTGAAAAAAGCATTTTTTTTTCTTCTAAAATTAGATGATCTGAAAAGTATTGTTTGCATTTAAATTAGACAATATAGAATATATTGTTTTCGCTTTAATTGATCTAAAAAATATTGTTTGCTTTGTAAATCTGATTGTCTTAAATGCATTTTGTGTTTTCAAATTATGTAGAAAAGTTTTCTGTTCTCTTAAATTAGGACCTTGAAAGTATTGTTTTCTTTTAAATAAAATGATTTAAAAGCTATTGTTTTATCTTAAATTAAATGAACTAGAAAATATTGTTTGCTCTCAAATTGCGTGATTGAAAAAAAAAATTATTTGGCCATCCATCAAATTAGATTATTTAAATAAAGAAAATACTGTTTTCCTTATTTAGATACGTACTGTTAATACTACTAATAATACTGTTAATGCGTACTAATAATACTTTAGATCTGTACTATTAATACTATACTAGAATCAAGAAAGTGGTGTTTGCTACTAAGTTAGTACATCTTAAAAGTATTGTTTGCTATTAAGTTAGTTGATCCTAAAAGTATTGAATGCTTTTAATTTAGGATCTAAAGAATAGTGTTTGTTCTTAATTAAGACCAAAGAACCATTGTGTGCTATTGAATTAGATTAAACCATAAATTATATCAAATAACCTAAAAGGAATAGTTTTTTCTTGAATTAAATAAAGAAGAAAATATTGTTTGCTTTTAAATCAGATGGTGCAGAAAATTTTGTTTGTTTTTAAATTAAATGATCTAAAGAGGCGTTCTTTGCTCTTAAGCTATGAGCTGTAGCTAAGTCCTGTTGTTTGCTCTTAAATTTAAGGCTCTAGAAAATATTGTTCGTTTTATAATTACCTGATCTGGAAAATATATATATTTCTCTAAACTAGATGATTTTAAAAGTAGCGTATAAATTAGATGATTTGAAAAACATTATTTGCTCTTAAAATAGATAATCAAGAAAATACTGTTTCTCTTATTAAATACTGTCCAAAAATAATTTTTTTGGGGAAAGAAATAATAGTGTAAATAATGGCAATTTTTTTTTTTTTTTTTAAATATGCGAAAATTTTGAGAAGATTATTAATTATGTTTATTTTTATAAAATGACAATGAAATTCGTAATGTTCGTTTCCGTAAAAGAAAAAAATGAGAAGCATAAACAATAACCAAAAACCAGAATGGGAGGGGGGAATCTCTTTGTCTCACCCCCCCCGGGTATTTTCTTTATGCAATAAAGAATAATTTTTATTCTAATTGAGTAACCGTAAAAAACATCTAGTAGCTGAATAGCAACATAGAGCAGCTTGAAAATTAAGTACTATAACTCTGCGTCCATCACGTTATTACATGAAAATAAAAATCCCATAGCTGGATTAAGAGCGCAAAGTTAAGCGGTCAATAACTTTCAGAAAATGAATAAATGTGTATGCGGATCCTATTTTTTCCCCATTATATATTTTCTGTCATTTATATAACTGGTTTTAAAAAAAAAATAAAAGGAACGAAATGCATATCAAACTGCGATTTTGTAGTCCAGTGTAGTCCACGACGTCATTCCTAAGTCAAGGTAACATCGTTTGTCAAATTCCCCCCCCCCCTTTCAGAATGTAATGTTAAGGTATGGGGAAGGACAGCACACACTGACATCAGTAGTTAATTTTTGTGTAAGAATTGGATCAAAGATTAGTACTCAGATAGAAAGAGGGTTAAATGGGGATATGTCAGGGCGTGTGCTGCTCTAACACACAGTCATTAGTTCTTTTTTCTTGTGGCTATTTTCGCGGTTATGTAAGACGATATTAAGAGCTATTTTTTTCCGTCCCTAAATTATATGAATCAACACGGTTTACAACCGGTATGAATGTGTATATTTAGTGGCTGAAGATTATTACTTACGAGAAAATCATGCATTCAAACATCCAATATCTATTATGTATTGTACTGTAAATCCGCATTTCCAAACAATAATTGAATCGGATTTGGAAAACATTTACATGGTTAAATCCTTATTCGATTTTTTATGCATTATATTTTCTTACTAAACAGCATTTAAATATTATGTAAGTATACAAGAGGAGTAATTGTATTATTGAATTAAGAATTGATGTTAAATTTGGAGGATGAAAAAAGTTGGAAAGGAGTTACAGAGGTCAGTTTTTGACCACAAAAATGAAAAGCAAAAAGTTTCTTAAGATTATTCTACTCAAAATTTTATAAAATAAACTAAAAGGCAAATTTAGCATCATTGCAGTGTTACATATTTTATTCGAATTTAATTCTAAAGTTGGATTGATACAACAAAAATCAAAGCAGAAATAAGACTGTTTGTTACTACTTTCTCGTGCAAGCATGGAAGGTTTTGTGATTTAGCCTATTTTTGTTGACAAGGGAAGCAAAAAGATCTAACATTGCCAAGAAATAAAATGTTTACTTAATCTATTTGAACGATCCCGGTAAGGCATTTTAAGTTTTCCGATTTATTTCTCCCTAGCTAACTTATCACTTCCAGTAATTTTTCTGATTATATTTAATAAGTTTAACTTACGTTTAAAAATTTAAAATATAGCCTGGAATGCTGCCGAGCCAGTTTTGATCCGCAGGCCGTAGTTTGGTAAACTAAAATCGTTCGATTTCATTATTAATATTTTATATATATATATATATATATACACCCTTGTGCAAATTAATTGAAACAAACTTTTTTTTTTCGTGTTTTTTAAAGAAGATGTTTTGGGGTTGTTTCGGTTACAATGGGGTTGGACCTTTGCAGCCTATTGACGGTATGATGCGTTCTGAGCAGTACATTACTATTCTGGGTAAAAAAGTTGTTCCAGAGTTGAAGAAACGATACCCTGATGGAACAGGGATTTTTCAACAGGATTTAGCTCCTTGCCATACGTCCAAAATTGTCAAGAAATTCATGTCTGAGAATCAAATTGAGACATTGGAATGGC